CAACCACTTACCATCAGGTGGATTCCATCTTAGTCCTCACGGGTGACAACGCATCTACATTTTGATTTGTAATAGAGGATAGATGTAGATGTCTATGGGCCGCAGCAACCACTTACCATCAGGTGGACTGTGTGCTCGTTTGTCACCCTTATTATATAAAAAAAAAAAACTTTATTGGTGTATCGAAAGCATCAGTCAGCCAAATCGTGCAGTCGAAATGTATCTCGGATTATAGCTGTTTTATACCCTTGTAGGGGATCTTATACATTTCATACACATACAATCATACAGTCTCACACACACACGCATTTCCACAATACACCCTTTCTATCAGTTGGTTGACGTTTCGTTGATTCGATTCCGCGCGGCATCGTCGATACAACACCATATATGGTAATATCATAAGGCAGCGGTTGCGAGTCGGCGATGGGAGAGCACCTCCCCCATGATCTGTCGATCAGTCGCTTACGTGCTTCGACGCGAAGAGATTGTCGCATTGTATTGCAGACGCTTTAATAATTATTTACGTGTGCCTATCTTTGTTAATTAATTGTCTCATTTTAAGTTTCTCTCTACCGCTGTACTTCTTCCTTTTTTATAAGAGGTGGGACAAACGAGCATGCGGCTCACCTGAAGGTAAGTGACTACCGCCGCCCATGAACAACTGCAACACCAGGGGAATTGCAGATGCGTTGCCGGCCTTTTAAAAGGGAGTACGTAGTGGTAGTCCTTGTTTGGAACTTACGTCGCATTCTCCTTCTGTCTATTTATTTTGTTGTGACTTTGTATTTGTGTGAAAATTAAATAGTGTGTGTTAGTATAGGGCTACCTTTTATTTGTGCACCTCCTTTTGTCTACACACACCTAGTAGATACATCTCACCGCTACATTGGTGACCCTCGTAGGACACAATGAGCAACGTGGAAAACAAGGACGTCAAAGATACGAGAACATTTAAAGGTGACCTTACGCGGCGGCAGAGTCCGAATACTGTCCAAGCAGAAAATGTTACACCGCAGGAAATTATGAAAGTTGGAGTACGTGTTCCATATTTTTGGCCTGACAAGCCCGAGATTTGGATTGCGCAAGTATTTTTTTTATAGGAGAGGAGGCAAACGAGCATGCGGCTCACCTGATGGTAGGTGACTACTACCGCCTGTGAACAACTGCAACACCAGGGAAATTGCAGATGCGTTGCCGGCCCTTTAAAAAGGAGTAGGCTCTATTCTTGAAGGTCCCTAAGTCGTATCGGCTAAATTGCACAGTGGTGGACCGCCAATCATTCAGATGGTGTGGATGGTATCGGGAGTTCTACCGCGATGTGCGTTCGTGAAATTTGGCGGCTGGGATTAATCCGAACAATTCCTCAGAGCACTCCCCGTGGTAAATGCGAAAGTAAATGCAAAGAGATGCAACATTTTTTCGAGCCGATCGGAAAGGACTCGGTCGTCGACGATTCGAACCGCTCTGCGCTAGATGCTGTCACGTGGAATGAGCTGGCATTGGGGAGCACCTGCCCGGAGATAGGAACATTATTCCATGTGCGACCGAACCTGCACCTTGTAGGCGGTGTGCCGACATGAAATACCCGCTATGCTGAGCACGCCAAACATTTTAGAGGCCAATTTGGCCTTCTCTTCCAAGTGACCACGAAACTGCACTTCACTCGATATATCGACTCCGAGGATTCCGATATTTGGCTGAGGCAACAAGGGGAGCGCCTTGAAACTGAGGAGACACGACAAAGGTCAGTTCACAATATCAGGAATTACTAGCGACTCAACCAAATTTAATTATGTTATAAGGCAAATAGACAACCAGTCCTCAGTGGAAGTTAAGGACATAATTATTAATCCACCAGCGATTAATAAATACGACAAGCAAGTGAGCTAGTCAAAAGATTGAGTGCGTCTAAGGAAAATACGCTCACTTAGTTACTGATGCATGAGGAAATGAGAGATAGAAAGCCGTTTCAGTTCCTCAGACACCTCAGAGACCTCGCTGGCGTTCAAGCCTCCGAAGGGTTCATGAAAACTATGTGGATTAGCCGTCTACCAATTAGTATCCAAACTTTTCTGTCAGATCGACCGTTTACTTCGATTGATAATCTAGCCGATATTGCTGACAGAATTCATGACTTTGTGCCCTCATCACCCCACATAGCATCCACAAGCAAAGCTAATTTCTGTGGAACGAATGACATTGATCTTGCCAAAGAAGTCTCCGCTCTCAGAAAACAAGTCGAAGCGCTTTCACTTACCTAAAGGAACAGCAGATCACAGTCACGCTCGAGAAGTATCATGCAAAAACACCGTTCTATGTCAAGATCTCTGTCCAGCTATAGGAAATATCCTACTTGCTGGTATCACTCAAGTACGGCAACAAAGCAGATAAATGAGTCCGACCATGCGACTTCAAGTCGGATAACTCCAAGGGCAATCGGTAATGTCGACCGACGATTGCTCCATGTCTACTGGTCGCTTATTCATCACCAACCGCGCCTCGAAGACCCAGTTTTTGGTCGACTGGACTGGAAGCGACCTCCGCATCTTCCCACGCCGCTGCTACAAGAACGTCGTGCCCGGACCACGTATCAGCTACATACACGTGCAGCTGATAGTTCATGTATTAACACATATGATTATGTGTACTTAAATTTAGACTTTGGTTTACGTCGATTATTTTCCTGGCGTTTCGTAGTTGCAGATGTAACTAAAGCTGTCGTAGATGTTGATTTTTTAAATCACTTTAACATTATTGTAGATTGTCGAAATAAATGTTTAGTTTATAACACTGTAGTGTTTAGGAATAAATTTACAATAAAATACGGATTACGTAGCAGGCAGTTTAATCGCTCAATACAGACTAACATGGACTGACAATTCTTTCCCTAAACGCTTATATTATTACATTATCACTCTTAAAATACATCACAAACACCCTGTGTGTAACAGCCACTGCCTCACGGGATAAATTTAATAGTATTTTATGAATAAAAATCTTAACTGGTGAGACAAAATATCATAAAATATTGGCAGAATTCACTCGACCAGCAGATATCCACCGCACCACACAACACAATACTGTACACTATATCCGCACGACACCAGGCCCACCAGTATCTTGCACACTACGTCGCCTCGCTCCAGATAGACTTAAAATTGCTCGGCAGGAATTTCAATCTATGCTCGATGACGGAATATTTCGTTTCTAATTTCGTTTTCTCTTTTTCTGCCCTGATGAATTAATCAGGTCAGTGCGAGAGATAGAGGAGTCGAATGATATTGAGCAGATGACTGTCGAATTTCAGTATCTTGTAGAGAAATTGGAAGAGTTAAAATCTTTTGACAGTCAAATAAAAAATATGACGATCGATTCTTGCACGGATGAGCAATTTGATGAAGAATGTGACGAATGCGAATCGTATTTAAGGAAGTATTATGCAGTAAAAGTTAAGATTGAAAAATTACGAAAGGAATGTGATAGAGCAAATACATCTTCAGCGGCTACTGACGGATCTCATCAGAAGAGAAACATAAAGCTACCGAATATCGAGCTCATAAAATTCGATGACAATCTGAAGACGTGGTTATCTTTCTGGGGACAGTTCAAAAAGATACACGAGGACGAGACTCTTGAACCAGAAGATAAGTTCCAGTATCTCATACAGGCTATGAAGGAGGGGTCCAAAAGCAGAGAGCTCGTAACTAGCTACCCTCCGTCTGGCAAGAATTACCCAAGAGCGCTGGAGCAGCTACAGGGACGATTTGCTCGAGAAGGTATCCTCATCGAGACGAATGTGAGAGAGCTGCTAGGTCTCGTGTTATGTCAGGCTAAGGGACAAAATATGGATATAAGATCGCTTTACGACCAGTTGATGACCCATTTGCACGCTTTAGAGTCACTCAAAGTAACAACGGAAAAGTACGGAGCGATGTTGTATCCATTAGTCGAATCAGCTTTACCTGAAAATATTTTAATTGTTTGGAATCGAACTAGAATTGTAAACGATGTTGGTCAATTAACGCAACTTTTAGAGTTCTTAACCCTTAAATGCATAAAGTTGTAAAACTGCAACATACCATTCAAACGACCATAAAATTATTAGTATGAGTTCATTGCATGCTGTTGCAGGATTATCACTATCATGGTTATATATTTAATCGAGTGGCAACACACTTTTTTTCTTCACGACTGTCAAATTTAAACTTGACATTGACAAATCAAAGCCGATCGTAATTTTGGAGCGGATGAAAATTGTGTACTTGCTTTGCAGTGTAATTATTTGATTTTCGAAGGTAAGTTCAAACAAAATTAGTTATTTTACGTAATAATTCATCTTCTTTTCAGTACAATTTATAAGTTATAAAAAAAACTTTTGGTGTGTTCGGAAATTTTGTTTATTTTGTTGTTGTAAATCTGCAACAATATGCATTTACTAGAAAATGTCCCTGTTTAGATTCTAACTATCACTTTTATTGGTTTTCAGATGCCAAACTTGAATCAAAAGCAAATAGAAGAGTATTTAGCTCTAATAAATGATGGAGAGAGGTCGGAAGATGATCTTGAGGAGTCGGATACAGAAGGTCATGAGAATTTTTGTGAAAATCGAGACGATTTGCTTCACGATCTTGAGAGTCCATTAGAAGAGGAAAATGATGACCCCGATAATGATCCATTCATGGCAGGAGACCCGCCATTGATAAATGAAGCTACAGCAAATGATCAAGTGCCACAGGTTCCATTCCCCTCAACAAGTCAAGCTAGTCGCCGAGCAACTATGAGAGGACTCGTATGGAAAGTAAAAAATTTTGTTTTGAATTCTGACCAGACAGCTTTTCATGGAGACACTACATATCCACAAGAACTGAAGGATGAGGCTACTACTGGTACTCCCTATAGTATTTTTTTCACATTTTATTACATCAGAAATAGTTCAAAGGATTGTGGAAGAGTCTAATTTGTATTCCGTTCAAAAAAATGTGACTAAACCATTAAATTTGTCTGAAACTGAGCTAAGAAAGTTTATGGCGATACTGATATACATGTCTGTTATAAAATATCCCAATGTACGGCTATACTGGTCAAATACTGTAGGTTTTCAACCAATCAAGGACATAATGACTGTCAACAGATTTGAGACTATTCGTAGATTTCTACATTTCAACAATAACGAGAAACATTTACCCAAGGAACACCCACAACATGATAGGCTCCATAAGATAAGGCCTATAATTAGCCATCTAAATGAAAAATTTGCTTTAGTTCCTATGGAACAAAGACTCTCAATTGATGAACAGATGTGTGCCACTTTCGTGGCACACTTCATGAAGCAGTATTTACCTAATAAGCCCCATAAGTGGGGGTTTAAATTATATGTGATGTGCAGCGTGAAAGGTTATGCTCATAAATTTGAAATATATACTGGCCAAGAGAATGAACGGCTTCCAGATGAACCAGATTTTGGGCCAGTGGGAAATGTTGTAGTCCGGCTTGCTAGAGGTGTCCCAAGGCATATAAATCTAATTTATTTTGATAATTTTTACACCTCTGTACCTTTAGTTACCTATCTTGCCAAACAAGGAATCTATAGCCTAGGTACTGTCCAATCTAACAGGCTAGTGAACTGCAAACTGCCGGACAAAAAAACAATGATGAAGAAATCTGTTCCTCGTGGAACTTATGAAGAGCAGATGACTGAATTTGACGGTATTGATGTGACAGCAGTTACTTGGAAGGACAATAAAGTTGTAACTTTTCTATCTTCGTATGTTGGAGCTGAACCTGTGGGCCAAGTAGAAAGATTTGACAAGGCAAATAAGACTAGAATTAAAATTTCATGCCCACATATAATTAAGGAATATAATGCCCATATGGGTGGAGTGGACCTAATGGATAGCTTTATTGGAAGGTACCGAATTGCAATGAGAAGCCGAAAGTGGTATCTTCGTATCTTTTACCACTTATTGGACATGACGGTAATAAATTCTTGGCTTGTGTATAAAGATTTAAAAATAACTGAAGCCAATTCATCAGTTCTAAACTTATGTCACTATAGACTGGAACTAGCTGAGGTATTAGCCAAAGTAAATAACTCATTTGAACTCTGCAACAAAAGAGGAAGGCCAAGTACCAGCAACAGTGTTGAAATGGAAATACAAGCAAAGAAAAGGAGAGGACCAGCTCAACATATTCCTCCTAAGGACATAAGAACTGATAATGTTGGTCACTGGCCTGGTAATTGTGTTCGCAGTAGATGCAAAATGCCTGGATGCAAGGGATACACGCAAACAAGGTATGAGAAGTGTGGAGTAGCTCTTTGTCTTACCACGACCAAAAATTGTTTTAAAAATTTTCATATGTAGTTATTGTCTAGTGAATGCATGGTGTTGTAGTTCTGCAACATATGGTTTTTAATAAAAATAGCTATGAAAAAAATATTTACGATTTTTTTTATTATTTTTCCCTGAATCAGCATATTCATGGCTCCAAAATATATTTTTTCTCGGTCTAAAAATAAAATCATGCATTTAAGGGTTAAAACGAGAAGCCGAGGCTGAGGAACACATTAAATTGACGCGCGCTAATTTTAATAGTTATAGTTCTTCCAGCAGTGTTGATATGCCGCCGACAGCAGCTTGCATCGTTTCGAAAGAGGAGACAAGTTCCAGTAAAACAGGTAATGACTTTTGCTATTTTTGTGATAATACGTCTCATTCGATTCTTCAATGTAATAAAGGAGTCAAAATGTCTTTAGATGAAAAGAGAGCCGCTGTCAAAGATAAGAGGGGTTGTTTAATTTGTTTACGTAAAGGTCACGTAGCTAAGCACTGCAAGACGTTTTTAAAATGTATGGCCTGCGGTAAACGTCATGTAGTGATATTTTGTCCGGACCTTTATAGGGATAAACAAAAGGAACCCAAAGAAGCGACAGCACTTTTCTCTAGGAAAGGCGGAAATATTTTATTGCAGACTTTGATTTTAGAGGTTTCACATGAGGGTAAAAAGAAGAAAATACGTGCTCTGTGTGATACTGGATCGCAAAGGTCGTGTATTAGGAAAAACGTAGTAAAAGAGTTAGGCCTTAAGGTAGTAGGTATAGAGAATTTAGGTTATTCACTATTTAGTGGTGTTACTAAGCCAGCAGAAAACCACAGTCTTGTCGAAGTGAATGTAAGTAGTCTAGATTCTTCTTTCTCTACAAAATTCATTGCTCTTGAACTCGACGACATTTGTGGCTATCTTCCCAAAGCAGACGATCCCAAGCTAAGGTCAAAGTTATAGTCACTGAATATAAGTATTGACGACAGTGACTGTGACCTTAGCGATGTAAATATGTTAATAGGAGCTGATTATTTAGGAGTAATTTGTACGGGCACTATTGCACAATTAGATGGGCCTTTAGTAACTATTAAGACGAGGCTAGGATGGACATTACAGGGCCCTAACTTTTATAGTGCTGCACAATGCTCAATGACTTTCAATTGTCACGCTCAGAGTAAACTTTCAGATTTGTGGGATTTAGAGATATTAGGGATTTCAGAGCCACATGAACAGATGTGCAAAGATAGGAAAAAAGAAGAGGTAATGAGTCAATTTGAGCAGAATATTAGTTTTAAAAACAATTGTTACCAAGTAGGGTTTTTGTGGAAAGATGGTTACCCCGAAATAGGCAGTAATTACAATGTAGCTTACAAAAGACTTTTAACGACGACTAGGAAGTTAGAGAGGACTGGTCATTTGCTAAGTTATAACGATGTTTTTCAGAATTGGTTAGACGAAGATATTATAGAACATACTGAAAACAATATAGCAGAAGGACACTTTATTCCTCATCACGCAGTCATTAAGATGTCTAGGACTACAACAAAGATACGTCCAGTATTCGACGCATCGTGTAAAGATGCGCAAGGATTGTCTTTGAATAACTGCATCGAATCGGGTACCAATCTTATAGAACTAATCCCTAAATTATTGATGAACTTTAGGAAAGGTACGTACGGCGTCACGTCGGATATAAAGCAAGCCTTTCTGCAAATTTTAGTTTCAGAGAAAGATAGAGAGTATTTAAAGTTTCTGTGGTGGGAGAATCCGTTGACCAAAGAGAAGATAGTCACTTTCAGACATAAGAGAGTAGTATTTGGGGTGACTTTTAGTCCGTTTCTCTTGGCGGCTACGATTAATTATCACTTAGGCAATTTTGAAGGAATGTACGGTCAGACAGTTGAAATTTTGAAACACTCCTTTTATGTTGATAATTGTGTAGCTAGTTTTGATACAAAAGAGGCTTTATTTACTTTTATAGACGAAGCTAAGGAAGTTATGCTAAAGGGTGGTTTTGATTTACGATGTTGGGTTACCGCTCCTATTAGAGTAGATAACACTGTCCAGTCTCAATCTGTATTAGGAGTGCTATGGAATACTCTTACGGACGAATTACAGTGTAGTTTCCGTCTTAGTAGCACTATACCAGATCGGGTCACGAAGAGAGATCTTTTGTCATTAACTCAGCAGATATTTGACCCTATTGGATTTCTTGCACCTGTTACCCTAGTGCCTAAACTAATAGTACAAAAGGCTTGGATAGATAGTACAGGTTGGGATCAAGCTATCAGCAACGAGTTATCGAAGGAATTTAAGAGTTGGCTAAATCATGTTCATCTGATAAATGATTGCAAGTTGCCGAGACGCTTATCAGAGGAGAGGTTGACGAACTGTAACAAAAGTTTACATTTGTTTTGTGACGCATCTATTAATGCTTATACAGGTTGTGTCTTTCTTCGGACCGAATGTAAAAGTAAAGTTACGATTAGGCTGGTTATGGCCAAAAGTAGAGTAGCGCCAATTAAAAGATCAATAACTTTACCTAGATTGGAGCTAATGGGAGCGCTTATTACATCGCGGCTTGCAAATGAGATAAGTAGAACGTTGTTTACCGACGACACCTGCCCGTTATATTGTTGGACAGACTCCGCGGTTGTGTTAGCCTGGATCCAAAGACAGTGTTCTTGGAAGCCGTTTGTGAGCAATAGGGTAAGTGAAATTTGTGCTCACACTAAGAAGGAACATTGGCGGCACGTACCGGGCCACTGCAATCCGGCAGACCTACTGTCACGTGGCTGTAATATGAAGACATTAATGAACAGTCACTGGTGGGATGGCCCTGCTTGGCTATTATCTGACCAAGAACTGTGGCCTCAGTCTAATCACATCGCAGTAGATGAGAACGCTGTTTCCATAGAAGCAAAGAAGGAGGTACTTGTAAATACTAATGTAGATACTGAACATTTTAGCGAGAAGCTTTTATACTTTTCTAAGTATTCAAGAATTGTACGTGTAGTAGCTTGGATATTCCGATGGAGAAGGCGACGAATGTTTAGTATAGCTTATATAAGCAATGATGAATTCGAAGAAGCTGAGAATATACTTATAAGACTTATTCAGGGTGAATATTATGTAAATAGAACTAAATTGAATAAGAAACTGCATACATTTAGATAGTAATAGTATTATGAGAGTAAAGACTAGATTAGGTTTAGGAAATTATGATAAAGATTTTTCGAGTCCCATATTATTACCAGGGAAAAATGTCATTGTGAGGCGACTCGTTGAAGAGAAACATATATACTTAAAGCACATTGGATCATATACTTTAATGTCAGAGCTGACAAACAGATTCTGGATTACAAGTGTGAGATGGCTATGTAAGGATATAGTTAAGAAATGCATAATTTGTCGTAGGCAAAAGGACATACATTATGATACACCGGAGACACCACTCCCTCTTGAACGGATTCAAGGCACGGCAGCGTTTCAAATGACAGGTATAGATCTGGCCGGGCCGTTGTATTTACGTAATCAAGAGAAATGTTGGGTGGTTTTATTTACTTGCGCGACATTTAGGGCTGTGCATTTTGAGATGGTAGACTCATTGTCCACAAATAGTTTTATTATGAGTCTTCGTAGATTTATTACTCGAAGAGGTCGTATAGACGTCATTTTCACGGACAACGGAACAAATTTTCGAGGGACTGCCAATTTACTGAAGGATATTAATTGGCAGGAGGTTGAAAGTGTGACGGCAGGCCATGCTATAAAGTGGCGTTTTATTCCACCTAGAACTCCTTGGTGAAGAGATGTTGCGAAGAATATTGGGGCGTCAGCGATTGACTTGGGTAGAGTTGGACACAGTCTTGTGCGATTGTGAAGCTGTCATTAATAGTCGGCCACTAACATATGTCTCGACTTGTACCGACGATTTGCGGCCACTTACACCTATGTTATTTCTACATGGCTTACCTTCTAATGATACTTCTGATTTAGATTATGTAGATAATATGAATTTAAATGTAAGATACAAATATTTACAAAAGTTGAGAGAAGATTTCAGAGTTCGATTTCGTAAGGAGTATTTGGATTACTTACAGCTAGATGGAAGGAGAAGACAATAGAAATGAAGAAAGGAGATATAGTTCTAGTAGAGACAGACACTGTTTGATTAAAACAAAAGTTTGAACATTGATTCACAGTTTCTTTTATTTATTTAATATTTTTATACAGAGAACAATACTAGCCGTTACATTGAAGTCTTGTGAGAAGGGCGTTGGCCGCAGTGTTGCCAACTTATGAAGCAACATTGTACCAAAATGTTGCCGATTTATAATAGTATTAAAGTAGTTAGTAAAATGTCGTAGACATATTCCCGGGGGAATGTTGTTTCATTAGCTAATCAATTACAATTAAGTTACAATAGTTATGCTACTTAAGTACAGTAAGATAAAATTAGTTATACTAGTTAATTACAGTAAGTTACAATAGTTACATCCCTTAATTACAGTTAGGCAAAATACATAGTTTGCTTATTGCTCTACGGTATATTCCTGAAGCTGTTTTTATTTCAGCGACCCTGGCCTTACGATCTGAACCATAGTATAATTTTACAATTCTGGCCACAGGCCATTGGAGAGGACTAGATCTTTCATCCTTTAAAAGCACTAAACTACCTTCCTCTATGTTTGGCTGGTTTAGATGCCATTTGGGTCTGCTGTTCAACTGGGACAAATATTGTTTATGCCACGCATTCCAAAAGTGTTGCTGCATTTGAGTGTTTCGACGCCAAAAGCGCAGTCTATTCTCTGGAATGTGAGTAATATCAGGCTCAGGGATTGCCGTTATGGGCCTTCCTATTAAAAAGTGACCCGGAGTCAAGAATGTAAGATCAGAAGGATCTCTCGACATTGAAGTTAGTGGCCTGGAATTTAATAATCCCTCTATGCCAACTAATATTGTGTTGTACTCCTCATAGGTAAGTACTTGATTTCCTATTATTCTTTTTATGTGAAATTTTGCGCTTTTTACTCCTGCC